CGCCGGGCGCCATCCCCGTGCGCGGGGCCGCCGTGCAGGTGACAGCGGCGCGGGCGCAGGCAGAGGGGAGCGGAAACGGCGCCGCCCCCGCCCGAGCCCGGAATTAAAGGCGCCGCGCCGCGCTCAGCCGTTGCTAGGTGGGTGTGTTCCCTAGGGACGCCGGGCGCTCGGAGAGGCGGAGGTGTTTTTTCCTTGGAGCAATATCTCACTGCCACGAAAGACAACCGAGAATTTTTTGAAAGACCACCGATATCCAGTTTTTTACTCCATTTGCTGCGGAAGAACAGCTTCACACAACTCACAGCAAAAAAAAAAAAAAAAAAAACTCTCTGCGTGGCAGTGTATACATTTTACAAGCTACCTTTTAAAGAACAGACCCTTTTAAAAGCAATTTTCTCATGATAAAAGAATGTTTTCCCTAGACTTTTGGGAGTAAGAGATCAGAAAAACATCAAGAAGGAAAAAATATCACTTGAAACCACCATTAACATTTTGAAACATTCTTGCCACCCCGTGTGCCTGTGTATGCATATTTATTCTTTAGCATAAAAACGCAAAGTTGGACTCAGTTGTGGTGCTGGGTGTTAAGTCGAGGGCCTCCCACATGCTAGGCAAGCGCTCAACCCGTGAGCCACCCCCACCCACCAGTCAATGGTATGTTCCTAAAAATTCATTCATTCCAGAAGTATTTATTGAGCACCTGGATTGTGCCAAGATTTTTTCAGGCCCTGAGGCCTGTGAGCAGAGGCCTAGTGGAGCTCGTTTATTGGTAGAGAGCAGAAGTAATGAGGTGACTCTGAAATCTGTGCAATATGTTAAATAAATACTTTGGAAAAAACAGCATGGATGGTGGGGCTAATTGTGAGGGTGGAATTAAGTGAGGACTGGAGCGCAGGAAGTTTCCTAGATAGGCGGGAGCCGGCTCTGTAGAAAGAACCACCAGGACCAAGGTCCAAGACTTATAAACAGTACAGTAAACATCTAACAAATACATAACCGGGCGAGCATGTTGTAGGTAAGAGAACAAGACCCCACTGAACTCCACCTGAGAGTCCTGGCTCTACCTCAGTCAAGTTGCTTGACCACTCGGGGCTCAGTTTTTGGTATCTGAAAAGGACAGAGTGCATGTAAATAGCGCTACTGACTCGCGCTCGAACAATATCTGGCTCACGGGACTGTACTTTTTCAAATTAATACAGTAATACAGCTGTGCTATTGCTACCCTCAAAAAGAGAATAGTGAAATGTAAAGGGCCCCCCGTCTCCAATTCCAGTCCTCAGAGGCAAATTTGGTCTCCAGGGTGGCATAAGATGTAACATGTCCCCCTCCCTTTATGAGCATCTCCCCCAGGGACAGTAGCTGTTCTTCAGAGTTACCGGATGTAATGTTAGGGGCTGAGGGTGTAGCTCAGCGGCACAGTGGGGCTTAGCATGCTAAGACCCTGAGTTCAGTCTCCCGCACCAAAAAATTTATATAGCATTACATTTTTCTTATTCCTAGTTGTATATATTTCTAGTTTTGCTGGGTGTGGTGGCACACACTTGTAACCCCAGCACTTGGGAGGCTGAGGCAGGAGGATCGTTTCGAGTTTGAGGCCAGCCTGGGCTACAAAGTGAGCTCAAGGCCAGCCTGAACTGCATAGCGAGACCCTGTCTCAAAAGGACAAAAATTTTTTTTTTCTTTTAGTTTTTAATTCTTACAAATCTTGCATCTTCTCCTAGTCTGCCTTCTCCTTCATACTAGGGATATGACCCAGGGAGCAGTAAGCGACATCCTCAGCCATTTTTATAATTACTTTTTATTTTTAAAACTTTTTTATTGGTACATTTTTGATATATATAATGATCACATTCATCATAGGGACTTTTACCTGTACATGATGTATCTTGATTCTTCTTGTTTCCCATTTCCATACTCTCCTTTCAGCCTTTTTTCCCCCACTTTATTGACAAAAGCTTTATTTCCATTTTTCTTCTTCTTCTTTTTTTTTTTGTATCAGGAATTGAACTCATGACCTTGCGCTTGCCAGGCAGGCGCTGTGCTGCTGAGCTATATCCCGGGCCTTCTTCTGTTTTTTTTTTTTTTGTTCCCTTCCTTCCTTTTCCCCTCCCCTCTCCCTAGTTCCCTTTCTCATCTGAACATTTTATATTCATTTTATTTTTTAATTTAATTTTTTTGTCCTTTTTTGACACAGGGTCTCACTATGCAGTTCAGGCTGACCTTCAGCTCACTTTGTAGCCCATGCTGGCCTCGAACTTGAAACGATCCTCTTGCCTCAGCCTCCTGAGTGCTGGGATTACAGGCGTGTGCCACTACGCCCAGTTTATTTTTTTATTTTAAAGAGAGGAAAAAAAACCAATAAAAATGATACACAATTTCAAAATAAGAGGATAGGAAATTAACAGTGGTTATTATATTGCATATTGTTATCTTCAAAGTAGTTCTCAGTCATCTGAATGTTTTCTTCCCATTTCCCAATATCCACTATACATTTTGGTCCTCATTTACACTTTCCATTTTTCACACCAGAGAAACAATGTGGTGTTTAAACATATGTGTCTAATTTATTTGACTGAAGAGTTTGGTCTCAAGGTGCATCCATTTACTAGAAATGTCTCAAGCTTATCCTTCTTATCCTTATGGCAGAATAGTACTCCATTGTCTAAAAAAAAAACACTACATCTTTATCCATTCATAAGTTGATGGGCATTGGGCTCTTTCCATGATTTAGCTATTACAAACTGTGCTGCTGTAAACATGGGTGTGCATAGATCACTGTCAAGTGATGCTTTTAATTCTTTTGGGAAGATATCAAGAAGGGGAGAAGCTGGGTCAAATGGAACCTCTAGTTTTACTTTTCTGAGGAATCTCCGCACGAATTTCCACAGTGGTTGCACCAGTCTACACTCCCACCAACAGTAGAGGAGGGGTCCTTTCTCCCCACAGCCCTGTTAGTATTTGTTATTGGTTGGTTTCCTGGTAATAGCCATTTTTTCTGGAGCGAGGTGGAATCTCAGCCTTGTTTTAATTTTCATCTCTCGATGACCAGTGATGTTGAACATTTTCTCATATGTTTATTTGCTGTTTGTTTCATCTGAGAAGTGCCTGTTCATTTCAGATGTCCATTTTTGGATTGGGTCTTTAAATTTAGGGGGTCTAATTTTTTTGAGTTCTTTATATATTCCAGGTATTTGTCCTTTGTCTGAGGTACAGCTGGCAAATATTTTTTTCCCACACTGTGGGTTGTCTCTTCACTGTGTTGGTGGTTTCTTTTGCAGTGCAAAAGCTATGTTCATTCATTTATTTATTTATTTATTTATTTTTGGTTTTTGGGGGGTTTTTTGGTTTTTCTCTGGTACTGGGAATTGAACTCATGACCTTGCGCTTGCCAGGCAGGTGCTATGCCACTGAGCTAAATCCCCAGCCCCTCCCTTTTTAAAAAAAATATCATGAGATCCTGGTTGTTGATTCTTTGTGATACTTCCTGTGTGATGGGTTTTTTTGTTCTTAAAGTCTTTGCCTACACCTGTCTTCAAGAGTTCTACCTATT